TACCCAACAGTAGGTGAAGCTAAGTGTTCTGAGATGTGTAAGATGGGCTAGGCTAAGGCATGCTTGGTAGGTTAGATGTATTAAATGCATTCTCAACTTATTTTTGATATTTTCAAATTACAATGGGGTTTTTGAGGCATAATTTCATCCTAAGTGGAGGAGCATCTGTATATATTTGTTTCATTTTACTACAGTATACACCAATATCTGTCATTACTAAGTATATATTTAAGTTTACTTACAGTATGTTCAAGTATCTGGTAAGATGTAGACTACAGTAACGTTTGGTTAGGTGTGGTGTGGTGGTGTGTGCCTGTAGCCCAAGCTACTTGGGAGGCTGAGGCAGGAGAATCACTTCAGCTGGGGGAGGTCAAGGCTGCAGTGAGCGGTGATTGTACCACTGCACTTCAGCCTGGGCCACAGAGCGAGACCTTGTCTCAAAATAATAATGATAATAGGCTGGGTGCAGTGGCTCGCGTCTGTAATCCCAGCACTTTGGGAGGCTAAGGCAGGCGGATCACTTGAGGTCAAGAGTTAGAGACCAGCCTGGCCAACATGGCGAAACCCTGTCTCTACTAAAAATACAAAAATCAGCCAGGTGTGGTGGCACGTGCCTGTAATCCCAGTTACTGGGGAGGCTGAGGCAGGAGAATCCTTGAACTCAGGAGGTGGAGGTTGCAGTGAGTCGAGAGCATCCCACCATTGCACCCCAGCCTGGACAACACAGCAAGATTCTGTCTCAAAATAACAGTAACAATAATAATGTCCTCCAGGGAATTGTCATCTCATGTCCACACTGGCCCTAGGCTTGGCCAGATGTGTTTTGGCCACCTGGACATTGACACATGTCAGCTGAGCAGAGGAAAGTGTAAAAAGAGCCCCTGTATTGGTACCACCGGAAGGCCTCCTGCCTGGGCTGGCCTTCTGGAGGATGACAGAGCAGAGATGAGTCAGTCATCCCTGCCAAGACCCAAATGCTTGAGTGAGCTCAGCTGATGCCTCATGAGACAGAGCATGCTGACCCCAGTTGAAATGCCAACCGCAGAAATGCCAGCAAACAAAACGCTGCCTTTTGAATCTACTAAGTTTGGGAAGGTGTATCATACAGCAAAAGGTAACTGATATAGAGGTGGGTCTCCTCCTTAATACTTTTCTTTCTTACTTTATCTATAGGCTAGACTTTCACATGTATTTCTCTAGATTTTTATTTTTTATGTTTATTTATCTATTTTTTGAGACGGAGTCTCGCTGTGTTGACCAGGCTGGAGTGCAGTGGCGCAATCAATCTCAGCTCACTACAACCTCCGCCTCCTGTGTTCAAGCAATTCTCGTGCCTCAGCCTCCCAAGTAGCTGGGATTACAGGCACGTGCCACCATGCCTGGCTAATTTTTGTATTTTTAGTAGAGACAGGGTTTCACCATGTTGGCCAGGCTGGTCTCAAACTCCTGACCTCAGGTAATCCGCCCACCTCAGCCTCCCAAAGTACTGGGATTACAGGCATGAGCCACTGTGCCCGGCCATTTCTCTAGATTTTTAATAGTATTTTGTAAGGTTTCAAAAATATCCTGGGATTTTGACTGGCAATAGAGTAAATGTGTATATTCATTTGGGAAGTAAATGAACTCTGGACTCAAGCTCAGTGACACATTTTCACCAGCAATACCACTCTCTGTGACTCCAAGAGAACAACTGGAGTCTCCGCATGGCCTCTCCTGGCCCCTGCCTCATGCACCTCTTCCCTTGGTTAATTTTAATGAGCCTTTTCATGGTAATAAACCATAACCATGAGTACAATAGCTTCTAGGGAATTCTGTGAGTCCTTCTAGTGAATTTCAAACTTGAGGGTGGTCTTGGGGCTGTTCCTAACTTTGCACTTGTATATTTAGTTTGCTAAAGATTATACCATGAAGGGGTATTGAATTTTACTAGATGCTTCTACACTGAGATTTTCATACTTTTTTTCTCCTTAATTCTGTTATGAATCATGTTGACCTTGCAATGTGAAATCAACTGTACTCCAATTCCTGGAGTACACCCAACTTGGTTGTGATGAGCTACCTTTTTCACATTATCACTGGATCTGATTTGCTAATATGTGGTTTGCAATTTTAAACTGTGTTCATGAGAGAGAATAGCCTGTGTGTTTTCTCTCATCACGTCCCTTTCGAGTTTTAGTATCAAATTTGTTAGCCCTGTAGAACAAATTGGTAAGAAGAGTTCCCCTTTATCACCTGGAAGACTCTGTGTGAGACTGATGCTGCTTCTTCAATTTGAGTCTTTTTTTTTTTTTGAGACGGAGTCTTGCTCTGTCGCCCAGGTTGGAGTGCAGTGGCGCCATCTCAGCTCACTGCAAACTCCGCCTCCCGGGTTCACGCCATTCTCCTGCCTCAGCCTCCTGAGTAGCTGGGACTATAGTCGGCCGCCACGGCGCCCGGCTAATTTTTTTTTGTATTTTTAGTAGAGACGGGGTTTCACCGTGGTCTCGATCTCCTGACCTTGTGATCCGCCCACCTTAGCCTCTTAAAGTGCTGGGATTACAGGCATGAGCCACCGCACCCGGACTTTGAGTCTTTTTTTTAATGGATTCTAGTTCTCCTTGTCATCAATTTTCCTGAATACATCAGTGTTACTGAAAAATATGACTCCAATCCTGGTGTAACCATAGACGACTTCTATGTTTTCTTTTTCTGGTCCTATGTCCTAGCAAGCCTGTTAATATTTTATGACTACAGTTAACGGTAACTTACTGCATATTTTCTAATAGGTAGAGGAGAGGATTTTGAATGTTCCCAACACAAAGAAATGATGTTTGAGGTGATGGATACGCTATCTACCTTGATGGATCATTATACTTTGTATATATATGTCCAAATATCACACCAAATCTCATCTTGAATTGTAGCTCCTATAATTCCCATGTCGTGGGAGGGACCCGGCGGGAGGTAACTGAATCATGGGGCAGATCTTTCCTGTTCTGTTCTCTGGATAGTGAATACGTTTCCTGAGATCTGATGGTTTCATAAAGGGGAGATCCCTGCACACACTTTCTTGCCTGCTGCCATGTGAGACGTCCCTTTGCTTTTCCTAGGTCTTCGGCCATGATTGTGAGTCCATTAAACCTCTTTTTCTTTATAAATTACCCAGCCTCGGGTATGTCTTTATTAGCAGCCTGAGAATAGACTAATATGCTCTGGAAGATATTATCTTACTCCAGACATTATTTTAGATCTTTGCCAATTTGACCTGTGGCAAACGGCACTCCAGCACAGCTTTAATTTCCACTGCTCTCGTCTGCCCAGGCTGGAGTGCAGTGGTGCAGTCATAGGTCACTGCAGCCTCCAACTCCTGGGTTCAAGGGATTCTCTCACCCCAGCCTCCTGAGTAGCTGGGATTACAGGTGGGTGCCACCATGTCCAAACCACTTTTCTTTGGTGATCTAGATTTCATTTGCAGAATATCTGTATGTTAAGGAATTTAACCTTTATGTGGGATATAGCCAGGAAAACCTTTTTTCCCCATTAGTCTTTTCACTTTGACATGCATAAACTTTAAAGTCTCAGGTAGTCACCTTTGTCAAGTCCCATTTTCTTTTACCTGGATAATAACCTAATAGGATTTTCTACTTCCAGCTTTCCTGCCGCCTCCTCCAAGTCTTCTACCAACAGTGATTCTTGGTGGTTGTAGTGACTCATGCCTGTAATCCCAGAACTTGGGGAGGCCAAGGTAGTTGGAGCCAGGAGTTGGAGTCCAGCCTGTGTAACAAGGCAATACTCTGTCTCTACAAAATTCCCAAAAAAAAAAAAAAAGTTAGCTTGGTGTGGTGGCACACTTCTGTAGTCCCAGCTACGTGGGAAGCTGAGGCGTGAGGATCACTTGAGCACAAGAGTTCGAGGATACAGTGAGCCATCATCACGCCACTGTCCTCCAGCATGGGCGAAAGAAACCCGTTTTTGTTTTTTTTTTTTTTTTAATAAGAACAGTGATTCTTTTCAAGCATAATTCAGATCCCAGTTCCTTCTCTGCTGACCGTGCCAGTAGTCTCCATCCCACTCAGAGAACAGCCCCAAAATCACTCCACCTCTCACATTTAAACTTTCCCACGAGATCACAGGGTTCTTTTTCACTGCACTGAGACTTCTTCCTGCCCCTGCCTCGGGCTTTGTCCTAGCCATTCCTCTCCTGGAATTCTCTTCCACTCTTCCTTTTGGTGCTTTAAGACGCCCCTTATTCTAGAGACCTATGTGAGCAGCGCCCCAACGTCACTCCCAGCTTTTTCCGACAGCATTTCAGCATTAACCACTGACCTTGGCGCATCCGCATCTGCGGATTCAGCTGAGGATTCCCCCACCACCAGCACAGGGTTCTCAGCTGCAGCCACGCCTGCCGGGCCTGCTGCAGGCGTTCAAAGAATATTTCTTAAGTCAATGATTGCAGGCTCTTGTATCCTATTTAAAACCTTTTCCACTAAGAGATTTAAAACACGTGTTTCCCTGCTTTCTACTTTCACGTTACATTTCTTACGTGTAAACCTGGGAAGCCTCTGGAGATAACCGCGGTTTCTGGAGAGGCTGGGATAGACCTCGGAGCCCAGGCCGCCCGGGAACTGCCGTTCCCGGCTCCTCCCCACCCCGGCACGGATCCCTCGGCAGGGAAGTTAACCCAGGCAGAAGCGCGAGAGGATCAGCCCCTACCAGGCTGCCCCGCCACGCCCGCCCGAGGGCACCACGTGGGCCCCCAGCGCAGGCGCATTCAGTTGAGGACCAGACGTGCGGAGACCTGCGAGCCGGCGGGGCCGGGCGGGGCCGGATTGGGCGCGGGGAGACCTGGGAGCCGGCGGGGCGTGGGCGTCGCGGGGCCCGGCGCGGAGGCGGAGGCGGGGGCGGGGCGACCGAGGGCGCGCGCGAGCCCCAACGGCCGTCGCCGCAGCGCGGGAACACGCGCCGCAGATGCCCCGCCCGCGCGGGTTTGAACAAGAGGCCCCGCCCCCGGTCCGTGAGTGGCCAATCAGTGGGCACGGCGCGCGGAGGGCGCAGCGTCGACCCTTTGTGGGCGCTGAGTGGCGGTCGCACGCCCCGCCCCGCGCCGGCGGGAGCTCCTCCCTCAGCGGCGGGAAGCTGGTGGCGGCGGCGGTGGCGGCGGCTGAGCAGAGGAGCCGGCGGGCGGCCTCGCGGGTCAGGTAAGCGGGTCCGGCTGACCGCGAGGGCGTCTACGGCGGCGCGCGCGTTTGTGCTGCCGGGCGCGGAGGAGCCCGGGGGCGGTGCGCGGAGTCTGTGGCTCCTGGCGCTGGCTTGGGTCCGGGGCGGAGGCGGCGCTCAGGGTTCCCGCTGTGGCTGCCGCGGGCGCCCTCGCCGCCCTCCTGGGCGCTGGTTCCACCGCGGGGTGGCCGCTGCTTAGGGGGCCCGGGGACCAGAGGGGCCCGGGCCGCCGTCTGCGTTCCATGCGGATTGCGGAGCTGGGGCTTCGTCGAGGCCTCCGGGCGGCCTCACACGGGAGCGACTTCGCGAGGGCCCGGCTGGGGTACGCAGCGGCGTTTCCTGTACCTCGGCTCTAGTTGCCGCGGAGGGAACGCCGGGCGCGCCCCGCGACGGCAGCCCCCGCCCTGCCCCGGGCCGACCCCACTAACCGGGCCAGGGCGCGCTGCAGCCCGCTCAATTGGATCCCGGCCGCGGAGAGGGCCGAGGATGTGGGAGGAGGCCCAGACCCCGGGCGGGTCGGCCAGCGCCGTCTTTCCTGGGCTCCTCCGGCGTTCCGAGGTGGGATTAGGAAAAGTCCCCGAGACATTTGCAGAAGTCAGAGGCAAGCTTCCCTGCGCGTTTTCAAACGCTTCTCGTCCCGTAAACAGGAACGTCGTGACAAAGGCTCCTACAGCTTGCTGGAATAGAGGGTCTCCGCTGCCTCGCCTCTCCTGTGGCCTTCGTGTGGGACGCACGAGACGGCAGGACCCAGATAACCGTTCTCTCAAAGTGAGCCACAGGAAAACATCGCCTGTTCCCAAAACTTAGGTTTTATAAACTTTCTACGTACAACCACTCTATTTTCAAGTGTCACCATGTTTTATAATTAGAGTGGAAATCAACACAAAGTGAGTTACACCCTTTTTCTAGGAAGAGTGGTAGGCTTTATCTTGGAAAAGGGGCCAGGAAGTTTCCCTCAACTTGCCATTGGAACATGTTTTCAGGGAAAGGAAGGTGTATCGTTCCAAGTAACAAAAGTACCTGAAATTAGCTGGGCGCGGTAGCTCACACTTCCCAGCACTTTGGGAGGAGGCCTAGGCGGGTGGATCACCTGAGGTCCCCAGTTCGAGACCAGCTGGCTAACATGGTGAAACCCCGTCTCTACTAAAAATACAAAAATTAGCTGGGCGTGATGGCGCATGCCTGTAATCGTAAACCTAGCTACACGGGAGGCTGAGGCAGAAGAATCACTTGAACCTGGAAGGCGGAGGTTCTCCAGCCTGGACGACAGAGCAAGACTCCGTCTCAAAAAACAACAACAACAACAAAAAAACCCTGAAATTAACGTATCAGTAATTGTTCAGGAACAGCCTCCAGCAGACTGTAGTGGAAGGTGGAGCTCCCACTCAGTAGATCTCAAGACTGAAGACCTTGCTCCTCTTCTTCCTGTTTTTCCGATAGAGTATTTCAAAGCTTATCTGATGTGAGAGAAATGGAAATTGTTGATAATTTGCTTAACCCGAAACTTCGAAGTGGCTGCAAGTCCAGCTGTGAAGGTGACAGGTTAGGTCAGAGTTGAGTCTGTCCCCAGCAGTCCCAGCCCTATTGGTCAGAATCTGGGAATCCGCATTTTCAGCCAGCCTCATGGGATTGCTCAGCCACGAAGGTGTGGCGGCTGCTGCTGTAGTGAAGGGGGCCGGTCCCTCAGCTGTACTCTGCTTGCCTGGGTAGCACTGCGGGGCTGCTCTCTGCTGGCCTCTGCCTCCGTGGGCTTAGTTTACTCTGTCCCTAGTGGCCTGTAGGCTGTTCCACCTGCCATGTCGGACATATCCTCAGTCTGTCCGACCCTCTGGGTTTTTCTCTTTCTGGTTGATGCTTGGTTTAGAAGCCTAAGGGCGGTGCTGGGAGTTGACTGAGGGGTGAACGCCTTGGCTGTCCCGTTGACACCCTGTGGAGTTGGTGGGATTTTAGGCATTTAACTAGATGTGTAGAAGGAGCTTCAAAACTGAGCAGGGGGTCAGGCATGGTGGCTCACACCTATAATCCAACACTTTGGGAGGCTGAGGTGGTCAGATTGCCTGAGGTCAGGAGTTGGAGATCAGCCTGGACAACATGGTGAAACCCCGTCTCTGCAAAAAAATACAAAAATTAGCCAGGTGTGGTGCCACGTGCCTGTAGTCCCAGCTACTCAGGAGGCTGAGGCAGGAGAATCGCTTGAACCTGGGAGGTGGAGGTTGCAGTGAACTGAGATTGCATCACTGCACTCCAGCCTGGGGGACAGAATGAGACTCCATCTTAAAAAAAAAAAAAAAAATTGAGCAGGGAGCTAGGCTCCACAGCCCCGCCCGTATGGTATAGGGCCCTTCCTTCCATATTAGAAGGAGTTAAGCAGCCTCAGGCCAGAGTCACACTGGAGGCCCTCAGGGAGCTGGGCCCAGCCCAGGCATCCCTCAGGGCTGGTCAAGATGATGCTCTTGGTGACTTTGTCCCAAACACAGATATGGCCCAATTCAGGGTGATCCTCACAGGCCAGCTTCTCCGGGCCCAACCTTATCCTCTTCACCCCTGAACGCATGTTCTGGGTGACAGCTCTTAGGGGTCACACGACTGTAAAAAACACCTGTGAGCTTTACTCCTTTTTGTATTAATAGTAATAAACTTGTTAGCATTTTAAAATATTGGGTACAACACAGAATTAGCTGCTGGAGATTTGGAACATTGGACAGCAATGATTTGAAGTGACTGAACAGGAATATTCTCATGGTACCAGAACGGGATCTGTGCATGGGATGAGATGCAGTGGAGGATGATGGAGATTCTCTCTCGTCCCTTATAGGACTTGTATAACCCAGGCACATCTACGCAGGTCCCTGGGTTACGCGAGTCCTACAAGGGGCAAGAGAATCTCCCATCATTCTGGAGGATTCCCTCTGGCCCCTTGTAGCATTTCCCACCCGGATGGTGGCTACCCTTCTGTGTTTTCACAACTTACATTAACTTTGCCTGTCCTGAAGGTTCAGATCAATAGAATCCTACAGTATATATTTTTGTGTGTGTCTTGCTGCTTTTATTCAGCATAATGTGTTGAAATTTATCCATGTTGCATAAATCATTGAGGTTTGTTGCTGAGTTGCATTCCTTTGTCAGAATACGCCAGATCGTATGCATTCAACTTATTTTAAGTGTTTTTTTTTTTGAGATGGAGTCTCACTCTGTCGCCCAGGCTGGAGTGCAGTGGCGCGATCTCTGCTCACTGCATCCTCCGCCTTCCGGGTTCAAGCGATTCTCCTGCCTCAGCCTCCCGAGTAGCTGGGACTACAGGCATGTGCCACTCCACCCAGCTAATTTTTTGTATTTTTAGTAGAGACAGGGTTTCATCGTGTTGACCAGGATGGTCTCAATCTACTGATCTTGTGATCTGCCCACCTTAGCCTCCTAAAGTGCTGAGATTACAGGCGTGAGCCACTGTGCCCGGTCTGTTTAAGTCTTAAAAGAATGCTTGTGGCTGGGTGTGATGGCTCATGCCTGTAATCCCAGCACTTTGGGAGGCTGAGGTGGGCGAATCACTTGAGGTCAGGAGTTCGAGACCAGCCTGGCCAACATGGCGAAACCCTGTCTCTATTAAAATGCAAAATTAGCTGGGCGTGGTGGTGCACACCTTATAATCCTAGCTACTTGGGAAGTTGAGGCAGGAGAATTGCTTGAACCCGGGAGGTGGAGGTTGCAGTGAGCTGAGATGGCACCACTGCACTCCAGCCTAGGCGACAGAGTGAGACTCCGTCTTTTAAAAAAAAAAAAAAAAAAAAAAAGAATGCTTACAACTGAGAGAGATGAAACTAGGCCAAGGACCGCCACCCCTCCCCAGGAGCCTCTCTGGAGGCTCACACCTGCTGGTCCTGCCCTTGAATAGACAGAAAGAAATGTTCCCTGTTTTCTGAATTTCCTTTCAGTGTGATAGATCTCATTGACTGTGCATTTAACACTCCTAAATTTTATAAAACGGTTATTTCTTGGGCATTTTTCCAAGAGAAATGAAAAACCAATGTTCATGCAAAAACATGTTCTAGAGTGTCCTTAGTAGCTTTATGTGTAATAACTCCAAACTGGAAACAAGGAAAAAGTCCCCTTCAACTGGGGTGCGGTGACGCTGGGCTCTGTCTGTGCCTCCAAATCATACTCTGTTGTGAACTGTTGACACACGAGACAGTTTGCAAGGATCTCAAGAGAATTATGCTGAGGGAGAAAAGCCAACCGCAGAAGGATGCTTGCTGTGGGATCCCATTTATGCCACATTGTTGTTCTGACCCAGAGCTGAAGGGTGGCATGGCCAGAAAAGGACCTACACAGGGAGGCCAGGGTGTCTGGCTCTGGCAGAAGAGCAGCTGTGGAACAGGATAGGAACACAGAGGTGGAGCTTAGTGGAGGAGGGAAGGAATGCTTAGCTGTGGGGCTCAGAGACTTGGAAAAGCAAGAGGAAGCTTTACCAGCAAGTGTGCAGAAATTAGTGCAGGGGAAGGTTGATGGATTGTTCCACCTTCTTAGGATGCAGTTTGATAATGTTTGTCAAGCGTCTTAAAAATGTACCTGCACCTCACCCTAGTAAGTAGAGTCAAGGCTGAGGAAGCCAAATGCTAGAAATACCAAAGCACCTAAAGTTAGAAACTGGTATCATTTGTGATTGGGAAAATTGTCAGTAGTGTGAAACTTCCCTCCCTTATGCAGAGAGGAAAGTGCTGGGAGAAACGGCTGGAAAGGAGGAACCCAGGAAAGGAAGAACCCAGGTGGTGACTTTTTTTCTGAGTGGATAGGATCCTGAGAGAAAATTTGTTTTGTGGTTTTTGATACTCTTCCAGATTGTCTACAGTGAGCTGTGGAAATAAGCAACCAGGTGAGAACAGGCAGAGGCTGTTTATCCAGAGCTTACCCTAGCAAGGGTACGGCCCTTCTCCCTTGTGATTGGCAGAAACTCATAGGCAGGCGAGGGAACAGGAGAGCTTTACAGTGGAAACCAGGGAAGCTCAGGGATGGCTGATGGAGGCTGCTGACTTGGGGGACTGGGGTGGCTGGTTAGAAGTGGGGTTCCTGGCCTGGCACAGTGGCTCACACCTATAATCCCAGCACTTTGGGAGGCCAAGGTGAGTGGATCACCCAAGGTCAGGAGTTTGAGACCAGCCTGGCCAACATGGTAAAAACCCCGTCTCTACTGAAAATACAAAAATTAGCCAGGCCTGGTGGTACACGCTTGTAATCCCAGCTATTCGGGAGGCTGAGGCAGGAGAATCCCTTGAACCTGGGAGGTGGAGGTTGCAGTGAACTGAGACCATGCCACTGCACTTCAGCCTGGGTGACACAACAACAACAGAAAGAAGTGGGGCTCCTATGAGATGGCTTAGAACACATTTGGCTTTCTCTGGTTGGTCCTAAATTGGAAGCAGGGACAAAAACTGGAGAGGTTGTCAGCTAATCATGTCCTGGCCATTTTGGGCTGCTTGCTGTGGAAATGACTGTTTAGCTTCCTAGAGAAAGCAGCCAGGCTTCCTGCAAGAGTGACGAGGGCAACCTGGCTTCCTGGCTGGTTACTGAAGGTAAAGGGCTGCTTTCGGACCACTTGCCGCAGATTATGGCTGATAGTTCTGCTTCTGTGCGTGGTTCCGCCATTGTTTGTTGGTGTATTCCCTCGCTCAGAGCAGATGTTAGGGTGATTTCCGATGGTCACAGATTCCTAGTGCTGCCCTTAGGACTGCTGACAGCACCAGGCCAAGCACTTAATTCATCCTCTTAAGATCCCCAGTGGGAGGTTCATGACCTGGCATTTCTAAGGACTCAGAGGAAAGGAAAGTGGGACCCAGAGGATACTAGGAGCTTGGGCCAGCTTCCTGTGCTGGTTGCCAGTGTGGTTGTGGGTCTTCTTGGTCTGTCCCATTGGTATTCTCGTTCCTTCTGTGAGTTGCCCTCATCGTCCTGGTCAGCCATGCTGACCTCCTGTAGACCCTACATTATGGGGGTTGTGCTGCTGGGTGTCCAGAGTCAAGGGAGGCAGCCAGGGGTTCTTCTGTCTGTAAACTTGGGCTGAATGCATGCTGTTCAAGAGGATTTGGTTTGGGTCTTAAATTAATCCATTGTTATGCAGGCTTGGGATTGAGATAGGGTTGAAAGAGAAACTAAAAACCCAAAAGGTATAGTGACTTCCCACAGAGGAACCCGTGGCACTTAATCTTTTCCTCAACACAGGGTGTCTTTTGTAGTTTGACATAGCCTTATGTTAATTCTCAATATACTTAGCAATTTTAAGCCAGTGATTTAAACAATGGATTGGGATGAAAACCTCTGAAAAGTTAAATTTGTGGCTGACACAAAGAACTTGAATATTTACCAGAAGTGGTTGAAATGTTTAAATGTGTTTTGGTGGTAAAGTGTCCTTCATGTAGAGTTAGTTGAGAAGCTGGTGTATGCCGGTGTGAGAGGTGGTTGTGCCTGTGGTGACACTTGCATGCTGCTGGGGAAATTGGTGTTGTAGGGGAAATAAGCTAGGGTTATGTAAGTTTTATTTTAGTTTTAATTTTGAAATAATTGTAGAACCAGGGGAGGTCGCAGAGCAGTGTTTAGGAGGTCCCGTGTGCCCTTCCTCTGCTCCCCAGGGTTGGCATCCTCATAGGATGCACAGCCAGGCCCCAGGTCCATGGGATCACATGGCTGCTGCAGGCCCATGTGCGTGTGTCCCGTGCTGTGCAGTCAGAGTGGAACCACCCCCACAGCCCAGGAGCAGAAGGGCCCTCACCCCCGAGATCTCCCTGCGCAGGTCCTTTTCTAGCCATGCCACCCCTCAGCTCTGGGTCAGCACTGCAGTGTGGCATAAATGGGATCGCACAGCAGGCACCCCTCTGAGGTTGGCTTTTCTCCCTCAGCATAATTCCCTTGTGGAAGGATCCGTTGTGTGTATCAACAGTTCATTCCTTTCTATCGCAGAGTAGGATTTGGTGGCATAAATGGAGCAGAGTGTGTGTCTCCATGCCCAGGTGAAAGGGACGTTTTCCTTATTTCTGGTTTGGAGTTATTACAAATAAAGCTGCTATGGACATTCTGGAACATATTTTTGCATGAACATTGGTTTATTTCTCTCGGATAAATGCCCAAGACGTCACTTAGTTTTATAACATTTAGGTGTGTTAAATGCACAGGCAATTGAGATCTATGACACTGAAAGGAAATTCAGAGAACAGGGGGAACCTTTCTTCTGTTTATTCAAGGTAGGACCAGCAGGTGGGAGCCTCCAGAGGGGCTCCTGGGAAGGGGTATGGTTGGCAGCCAGTTCTCCCGCACTGCAAAACCTCCCATCCTTGGTCTCCAGACCCCGAGCAGAGACAGCATATGCCCCCCATACCCCAGCTTTCCAAAAGCAACCTGGGTATACCCTGGTCACAGGGAGCCATCAGATTGACTAAGAGAAAAAGAAGTTCCAAAGTTTGCATATTCAAAAGATTGTAACCCTATTTATGCATAACTTGATTTGAAATAATATTTCACTACATCACAAGCATGAGAAGAGATAAACTTAATCATGTGTGAGATGCTTGTCCTGTCAGACTCTGCCGGCCAGTGTGGCCCTGAGCCAGCTGTCATCCTCCCAGCTCCCCACAGGCGGCACTGGCTCAGAATGGCACCTGTCAAAAGCCAGAGCCCACCCTCTTCTCTGCTCTGCGTTCAATGCCCCAGAGATATCCCAATTTAGAATCAGTTAAAAAAAAAAAAAAGTTTGCACAGACTCGTATTTCTAAGAGTAGACATGGCCAATGTCCATCTAGTGCATCTGTGCTGTGCGTCTGAGTGGAGCCTGCTCAGCAAGGCTGAGCCTCAGGTACCAGCCCGGAGTTGCCCAGGTCTGGGGTAAAGTCCAGGAATCTGCATCTTCAACCAGCAGCGCCATTGCTGAGACACACGCTGAGAAACGCTGCCTTGGCCAGCTGTGGGCTGCCACAACACACTGGTGGGGAACCCCCCTTCCCCCCGCCCCCCCCAACACACACCTTGCCATGTTTTGGTTCCTTTGAAGAGAAAGGAGTTGGGATGAGAGGGAGGAGGTGGCCCCTGAAGCCATGGTTGTGCCAACTCGTCAAGAGCTCTCCAGTGGAGGGCATTGGCCCTGAGAGATGTCAAGTAGAAAGCAGCCAGGCAGAGCCTCTGCACCTTGGGAGAAATGAACTGGTGGGGGCGGGTGGGGGGAGCCAAGGAATGGGTGTGATCCCTAAGGCACGCAGCACGGGTGGGTGTGGGAACAAGGGGCTGCCCAGGGCCACATGGGCTCTGCCAGGGGACCCTGTGTCCCTTGGAGAATTGTGCACGAAACACAGCCCACTCGCTGCATGGGAAGAGCATACAGCCCCGCAGTCCTTCCCCTGCACGTTCCTGGTGGCACAGCTTTCCAGCATGGCTGTCTGCGACATATAGAGGCTTTTAGTGAAAGTATTGAGGGGGAAGGCACTAAGCCTCTGAACACAGAAGTGACTTTGTCCCAGGCAGGATCCTGAGGGAAGTTGGAATGGTAGGTGTGTGCGCCCGGCCCTGTCCCCAGCCCTGCGCCCTCTGCAGGCTGGCATGGTTCACATTCATCTCATGTTACCCCAGGGTCTCTTCTTTTGTATGCACTACAATTAGATTTTTTGATACAGATTTTCAGCCAAGCTCTCAAACACTTATATTTCTCTTATATATTTCTCCTACTTTTAGTTCATTTACCTTTTTTTGCTGGAGATCACTGCTGTGGTACAGTTTAGAGGTTTGTTGTTTCTCACAACGTGACTGCCTGGATTAGGCAGGATGGCAGCTGATCTGAGGGGGTCTCCCACTGGGCTCCACATCTCAGCTCTGACTTCCCTGCCTGTTACAGAGTCACTGCTCCTTGTGTACAGTCAGGGCAGTCAGACGGAATCCAAGGGGCGTTGTCTGCTAGAGAGTCTGCTGTGTGCTAAGTGGTATCTTCCTTGGCTTCTGCAGGACACAATGTTTGCACGAGGACTGAAGAGGAAATGTGTTGGCCACGAGGAAGACGTGGAGGGAGCCCTGGCCGGCTTGAAGACCGTGTCCTCGTACAGCCTACAGCGGCAGTCGCTCCTGGACATGTCTCTGGTGAAGCTGCAGCTTTGCCACATGCTTGTGGAGCCCAATCTGTGCCGCTCAGTCCTCATTGCCAACACAGTCCGGCAGATCCAAGAGGAGATGACGCAGGATGGGACGTGGCGCGCAGTGGCACCCCAGGCTGCAGGGCGGGCGCCGCTCGACCGCTTGGTCTCCACTGAGATCCTGTGCCGTGCAGCGTGGGAGCAAGAGGGGGCACGTCCTGCCCCTGGGTTGGGAGATGGCCACACACAGGGCCCAGTTTCTGACCTTTGCCCAGTCACCTCAGCGCAGGCACCAAGGCACCCGCAGAGCAGCGTCTGGGAGATGGATGGCCCTCGAGAAAACAGAGGAAGCTTTCACAAGTCACTTGATCAAATATTTGAAACACTGGAGACTAAAAACCCCAGCTGCATGGAAGAGCTGTTCTCAGATGTGGACAGTCCCTACTACGACCTGGACACAGTACTGACAGGCATGATGGGGGGCGCCAGGCCAGGCCCCTGTGAAGGGCTCGAGGGCTTGACTCCAGCCACCCCGGGCCCTAGTTCCAGCTGCAAGTCTGACCTGGGCGAGCTGGACCACGTAGTGGAGATCCTGGTGGAGACCTGAGCAGGAGCCCTGAGCGCTCACAGCCGCCTCTGACGCATGGACACGTCAGCACTGGCTCCCACGGAGGGTGTGCCTGCCGCCAGCGGCCCAGCCTTGCTGCCCTGTCCCAGAACAGCCCATTACCAGTGGGGTCTGCAGCCCCAGGCCCATCCCACTTACTTCCCCCCTGTGGAGGGCCAGGCAGAGGCTGTTCTCCTGGAAGGCTTCTGTCTCTGGGCCAGTTCTGATGTCCCCACAGCCCTGGGACCTTTGTGTCTCTTTGTGTCCCCCACTGTAGAGGACGGCAGGCCACAGCTGCATCAACCTCCTTTACATTTAGATAGGTGAATTTTTACAGTTCAGTTTTATATGTTTTGGGCAGTATTTTAAGATATATTTTTTAAACTTTTTATACCTTATCTCTTTAGATTTTTTCAGCTATTTTCTTAAAAGTATATTTTTTCTATAAACATCCTTTGCTGCTACATTAGAACTTTTATAGCCTAAACAATTGCAGTTGGTGTGTTTCGTTTTTTTAAGGTTTAAATAAGGGCTTTTTTTTTTTTTTTTTTTTTTTTTGGCAGTGAGCATCACTACAGTCTGAGTCAACAGTGTGAATGTATCATGTTTTACTTTAAATGTGTGTGTGATGATACTTCATTATGTTCTGTGCTACAGTGAGACCTGGGTGAAAATCAAGAACCATACACAACTACACTTTTTTTGTCGTTAGAAAATCTGTGGGAGCCACATCTTCCCAGACTTAAGTGTAAATTATGGAGGATTTTATTTATGTCTATTTATATGTAAATGTCATTGAAGACAAAGGTCAAATATTTGTCTGTTTGGAGATCACGGGCACCAGTTGGTCTTCAGGGACCTCAGAGCCCCTTGGTGGTGCCTTTTTTTTTTTGAGGCGAAGTCTCGCTCTGCCGCCCAGGTTGGAGTGCAGTGGCCGGATCTCAGCTCACTGCAAGCTCCGCCTCCCGGGTTCACGCCATTCTCCGGCCTCAGCCTCCCGAGTAGCTGGGACTACAGGCGCCCGCCACCTCGCCCGGCTAGTTTTTTTGTATTTTTAGTAGAGACGGGGTTTCACCGTGTTAGCCAGGATGGTCTCGATCTCCTGACCTCGTGATCCGCCCGTCTCGGCCTCCCAAAGTGCTGGGATTACAGGCTTGAGCCACCGCGCCCGGCCAAGTGGTGCCTTCTTAAGGCAGTGTTTCTGGAGGCTCCCGTCAGGGTCAGCCCAGGCACCCGCCCTGGGTGAGGAAACAGCATTGCTGCTGGATGAGAAATGCCTGTAGATTGGTGCTGAAACAAAAGGTTAAGGCTAGGTTGAAGTCTAGAATGAAAGAGATCTGAATCCTTGTTGTCATTCATGGCACCTTGACCTGCCGCAGGCAGGGAGTGAGCTGAGGGTGCCTGCGGCCTTCTGCTCCTGCCCCGCCTCACCCCACATGCTCCCTGTTTCTCATGCTTTCTCTAACTTCCTTACCCCTTAACCAAAAAGGTGTGTTTTCTTTTGTGCATATAGCCATTCTTAAATATCAGTGATGTAAACCTTACTTTATTAAAAAATTATCCAGCAAACAAAATGGGAATGTGGCGTTAGTTACGGCCTGACCCTCCAGCGACCTTTCTGCAGGATCGGTTCGGCTGTGTTATCTAGTGGTGCTTTGTAAGGTGGGGAAAGGAATTTCACTTGACTGCATTATTAAATGGACGCCGGGTTACTTTTATTCCCCCCCACACAGGGTTGCAGAGCAAATTATTTTTACCTTGTTCAGCACCTGGCTGGGGCTGGGGGTGTCCACGACCTCTGACAGTCCCCTGATGTCGAAAGTTAATCCTCATGGACCCTAGTTTAAAGGGTATGTGTTTTATAGCAATAAACCTAAAGCACTATTTTGTTTCTGTATAGCATTTTTATCTTTTAAAAACATCATTTGTTCAGCATTAGTAGTAGTTGTAGTGCCTGTTTTGGTAGCCTTCAAAATTATAAACCGCTCAGAGAATGTGACTTTGGGGACCACAGAGACTCAGAGACAGGAGAGAACAGCTGCTATGACCTAGAAGTGTAGCTGGAGCCTCATTCCCTGGACTGTCATCGTGTTCACCTGTGATACTGTACAGCAAAGCCCACTTGTTTCCACCGTGGTGCACAGTGGCTGAGTAATCAGCTGTTTTCCTAGCATTTCTCTACAGGTTTAGTCTGTGTGTGTGGCGTTTTTTGTTTTGAGATGGAGTCTCGCTTTGTTGTCCAGGCTGGAGTGCAGTGGCGCGATCTCAGCTCCCTGCAACCTCTGCTTCCTGGGTTCAAGTGATTCTCCTGCGTCAGCCTCCCGAGTAGCTGGTATTACAGGCACCCACCACTACACCCAACTAATTTTTTGTATTTTTAGTAGAGATGGGTTTCATCATGTTGACCAGGATGGTCTCAAACTCCTGACCTCGTGATTTGCCCGTCTCAGCCTCCCAAAGTGCTGCAATTACAGGCGTGAGCCACCACGCCAGGCATTTTTGGTTTTTTGACGGAGTTTCACTCTTGTTGCCCAGGCTGGAGTACAATGGCATGATCTTGGCTCGCTGCAACCTCTGCCTCCCAGGTTCAAGCGATTTTCCTGCCTCAGCCTCCCAAGTAGCTAGGATTACAGGCAGGTGCCACCACGCCCGGCTAATTTTTGTATTTTTAGTAGAGATGGGGGTTTCGCCATGTTGGTGAGGCCGGTCTCGAACTCCCGACCTCCGGTGATCCACCTGCCTCAGCCTCCCAGAGTGCTGGGAATATAGGCGTGAGCCACCGCACCTGGCTGTGTATGTGGTATTTTTAAGTATGTAGCTACAAATTGACTTTAATTGGGAACACATTTTCCAAGTGTTTAATAATTTTGTTTACAACATATTTATTCAGAAACAGAAATACAAATCGCAGTGACCTAAAATTTTGGCACTGTCCTCTGTAGTCTGCTTCTGACCGAACTGAGGGGAGAGGGCATTTTAGTTGACAGTTTCACGGGGGCGTTTCCTGACGCGTAGTGGGCGCCCCTCACGTACAGTGCACCTTGCGCACAGCTTCAGAGCCCCTTCCGCCTTGGAAGTTCAGTTTCTAAGGTTAAAAAGTAATGCACATTTATTTGAAGACGTGGAACGGTATGAAGATAGCAGATTCCTCCCAGGGAACCGATCTTCCTTTCAGGGGTGACAACGTGCCTTGGAGAACACTGCCTGCTCTGCCCACAGATTCCTGTGCAGGATTTCCTCAGGGTAGGGGGGTCTCCACAGGGCTGAGCCCAGCCTTCTGGGCCTGGATCCCTGCTGGGCCACAGCCAGGCCAGGCGCCTTCTCCCAGGCTCACTCCTTAGTGAAGTGGGCACTGCAGTGATGGAAGCAGGACTCAGCAGCAAACTGCAGAACAAGTGTTGACATTGTGCTCACCCTGTGGAGTCCGCGTTGCTGGATGAGCAGGCTGGCGGAGCCGCTGGAAAGGGCCTGGCTGGGAGGCCAACCCGGCTGGGATGGGTGGGTGGGTGAGCTGCCAACACTTGATATGTTGCGTTGGTGTCTACCGAGAGTGGTGGGATCACGACCCTCATCATGAACTCTCACAGTTGGTTTCTGGGTTGCTAGAAGTTTCCATCTGCAACCAGCGAGCCACATCCTTAACTGGGATTTGACTGTGACCTGAGCCAGGCTTTCCATGTGGCAGTGCTGTGTGTGCTGGGTTGCTGCATTTACTCACAGGAAGGCCGCTGTTCCTTCTCATACCCTGTGTGGAGATGGCTGTGTCCTCAATGCCCGCTCAGGGTTTGTAGTGGAGTCAAGCAGGGAGGGGAGTTGTGTGGATGCCTGAGGGTTCGAGGGTAACCTCCATTTCTCAGTGGTGAGCTTTTGCAGTATTCTCAGGACTGGCGATCGCCTGTCTGGGAAGATGTGACTGCCAAGTGCAGCCCTCAGTTGAGGTGTCACAAATGTTGCTTGGTCGCTCCGGCAGGCCTGCTGCAGCTGGACACAGTTTAAGCCCCTGGGGCTGCTTGCTGCCCCATGCAGGCGTATTCTTCATCGGCCCATCCCTCACTCTGCCCTGTCCCTGGGAGATAAGCCCTTGCTTCTCAGATCCGTATCCCTTGCCTCCCGCACTGGGCCTGAATGAGCCTCTGCACTGTGCACGGGAGGCCAGCAGGGGCTCGGGGGCCTTGCAGAGTAGGCTGGGAGCAGCTCCATGGATTGTTCCTGAAGCTGTCAGAACCAGCTGAATGAACTGGAGGTGCAGGTGAAGGCCTGCGTCTTGGGTAACGATTTGGTCAATGCCAGAACAAGAGGCTTGGAAAACCTACAGAGAGCTGGAATGGAAGGTCCAGGAAAGGCCCTAAAAATGACATGCTCTGGGCAGCCTGTTGGCCACGGCCACTGTGCAGTGGTTCCCGTCGGCCTGTAGACACCAGGCTCGGTCTCACTGCCTGGCCTGGCCCTGCCACCTTTGGGACCTTCAGGGGCCCTTCAGCACCCTCGTCTTTCTGTGAAAAAGCCCCAAATGTACAAGCTGTGCCCCCATCCCTGGGTTGGCCTGAGGCCCTGTAACCTTGCTGCCCCCACATTCCTGCAGACCATCAGACTGGGGAGTAGTCACACTGATCCACTTGAAGGTTAGCAAGTTGCATGGTGGGGAGCAGGTGGGTGTCCACAGGCACCTGTTGGGTGGTCGCCCAGAGTGGAGTCGAAAACTCCATTTCAGATTCAAAATAAAGCAACCTGGACGGGACTGTTACAAACATGCAGCCTCTGCCTGATGAAAGCTCCTCTGTCCTGTGCTCACACGTGTGCCTCCCTGCAAGTGCCTCTATCACAAGCTGCGGAGAAATCCGGCATGCCAGGCGAACCTGCCCGCCAGGCTGCCCGGTGATCCTCTTCCTGGAGCTGAGGCACAGCACAGCCAGGCCCGCGGGCTGCATCTGCTTGACAGGACTTTCATTAGAGGTGGGTTCATCTCCCACCGGGATCAGTGAAGGGGCATTCCAGGACCCTACAAAGAGCTGGGCAGACCTGGGGACAGAGGGCACTGTGGTGCTGGGCGCCAGGAGGGGCTGCCTCACCACTGACCCCACCAGTGATGAAGCCAGGCAGCCTGCAGGGCAAGAGCCAGGTGGGGTGCTTGCTGCCCACAAGCTGAAGATCTGGTCCCAGGAAGCTCTCCCAGGGGCTCTGCCATCTTCACCCTGTTCTTCCTGCCTAGGCTGGTGGCCTAACCTGTGGCAGCTGTGCTGGACCCACGCACCCAGCAGGACCAGCCACCCACTGAGGGGCAGGAGAACAACAAGGGGCACTGCCCAGCTCCGAGAGCTCAGGCGGGGCAGTGCCTCTGCCTCCCGACCCTGGCCAGAGGCTGTACCAAGTCAGCCCAAGCCCAGACCCACAGTGAGACACAGGCGGAAAGGTGCTCCCTCCATCCTGGCTGCCTGCTGTGGGGACTGTCTGGGTGGTGTAGGAGGGTGTGCATGTGTGTGTGCAACT